GACTTCTCACACATATTAGATGAGGGAGTCTCAAATATACTGAGTTCTTTTAAGTTTTATGACAGCCAGGCAGAGGAGAAGAGACTCTGATAAAGGGTATTCCCACACCTACTTTCCCGGTGTGGGAGAAAAAGCTGTAATGTGAACTCACCGTTCGCTGATGATATATCAAGGAAGCTACAGGAACACCCATCAAAATAATTTCATTGGTGGCAGAACAACAYGTGGGCTCAATCTTTGTGTCATCGAACATGCTTTATGAATTTTTTTCATTAAGTAGAGCCTTAGTTGTAAAAATAATTGGTCTCTTAGCAGCATTATCATGGGTTTTATGCAGGAAAAATATGCAGTGTGTTTGCCCACGTAGAATAATGTTTCATAATCACTGATTCTCTTCTGTCAGCAATGCTAATATTTAACCTCCTTCTGTTTTGAAGCTGGTTATCATTTGCTCCAGAAAGAGAATCAAGACAGAGGAATATGAACTTAACAGGGGCAAACGTGAAACCAGTGTATATCTACATGTAAAAACAATTAGGTAAACTGCAAAATTCAGGCCATGCAAATGATTGCAGCTGAGGGGCTAGATTTCTTTTGATCAAGTTGATTAAACACTCCAGTAATTCAGTCCCTCTCTAAAGAAGCTTCTCTGYACACCCAGGATAAAACAGGGATAGTGTTAGATCTGTTGCATAGCATGCTATCTGCTCCTGTGAGCAAGAACGTTGATAGGGSGTGCAATCCTGCTGGTACAGAAATCATTTTTAACTGCCCTGTATCATTCCCCAACAGTTATAATCTTTGGTCAATTGTTCTAGGAGAGTGTTAATCATGGCATCCCCAAATATTCAGATCTGGGCTGCCAGAAAGGAAGAAAGGTTACAGTGACTAAGAAAAAGACAGCTCCTGCCCAAGAGCTGCTAAGAGAAAGCACTCTGTTAGGGCCTGAAATCTGAGCACCTACACCAGACAAGTACCTACTGCTATGCATAATTGTGGCATCCAGCTGAGATATGAGTAAACCCATCCGTAGGCCAAAATATAGTAAAAGACATAGACTGCATAAGCCAAGTGCCTCTTTAAAGACAGTCTTTGAGTGTCAGTGACAAGAGTTCTGAGTCCCAACAGAATGAATAATCCAAAGTCAGAAGCCACAGAAGACATGTCTGAGAATATCACATGGAGAAGATGAGCCTAGCATCTAGAAATGCTGCCTTAGATCATCTGAGTGGCTGTTTCCTTATTGGGCGAMAACTGTTTATTGGTAAAATTTAGTGCATGCTAAGTTGCAGAAAAGAGATGTACTTGGCATTTAGCTCAGCTGGAGATGAATGCAGCATAAAAAYTTAGGATATGTCCAAGTGTACATGTGAACTGTTAAATTATCCTATTCTGCCAAGGTGGTGGATTCCCACTTACCAGTCATCCAGTCTTTATATGAAAACCACCTACAGCCAGTGGCAGAATAACAGCTCTGCTCCTATGTCTGACTGATTCAAAGGTCAATATAAAGCTTAAGCAGCTTGAAGTTGCTCTCAAACTTCATACAGCTTTAAGGCAGGAGCACCCCTAGTCAATGATTTAGACTGATCATTTCTTCTTTCAGAAAAGCTCTCCTGGGGMAAGTCTGGGTCTGTTTGTACCTGGCCTCCTACAAATAGATATGAGTATACTCTGTGAGAGACTTTCTCAGTCCTACTGTCATCACTCAGACCAGTTTGAGTCTTGCAGAGAAGGACATTAGAGGGGGTTTTTATTTTTTTTTATTGGCTGTAACACGACAATCAACGTAGTTGTCTATTTCTCCACATCAAGATGTGCCTGACATTTTTAAAGAATAACTAAAATTTCCATTTTTTTTTCCACTTATTTGATCAAAGCACTTAAAAATAACTACAAAGTATACTAAAGCAAGTAGACATTCCTCTGATATATACCAGGCATGAGCCACCAGAATGACAGATTTTGGAAATGCAATGGAATCTGTCCTGTGCCAACTCAAGTGAGTATATTTATCTATGTACCTCAGAAGTATTAGGTAGGGAAAGATGTTTGTTTCATCTCGCTTTTYCCACCCTCCCCAAGCCATATTGTTCTTGCTTCCATTTCCTCTTTTTGCAGGAATATTCTCTGCAAAATTTCCTGCAAAACAGACAGGTATCTTGGTCACTTGCTGTCTGWATCATCTTCATCTTATACTGCCTGCAGACCTGTCCTGAGGCATGAATCTGGCTTAGTTTAATRTCTGAAAAGACACCACGAGTTGTCAATAAGCCTGTGGAACAGAAAAATGTACTTTTTTGCTTAGTCTGTGGGAGGCTGGGAAGTGTATAAAAGGTGGGCATATTAAATTCTGAGTTTTTTTTATTATATAGATAAGAATCTGAACTGCCAAAATTTAGTCTAATTTTAAAGCTCCTTATGCATTATGTAACTCTCCTCCTTTTCAGCAAAATGAAAAGTTATAATGCAAACCACTTTATTTCCAATATGTTTAAATTCATTCTTTTGAGGAACAGTAGGGCAAAATGTGCTCTTCAAAACCTGGTTCATTTTCTGAACCAGTTTCCACATTCATCTTCTGCTCAGTATTTGAGTGTACATCTACTGGAAGTGGGTACGCATTTTGCCTCTTGATCCTAATTTTGATCTCTGTTTTTACTCAAATTCCAGCAGRGACAATTTTTAACTTCCTTCTCTTATAGGAGATTTGGGATGTTATTTTCAGTCTTAAAGGAAAGCAGGGGTGGTAGCGTGTGAAGATGAAAGCATATGCTCTGTACCCCTAAGGAGGTTTCTCAGCCCAAGTCCACAGCGCATGATAAGGTCTTGTGCTTTATATCTCAYGGCCTTGTGCTTTGTATCTCATGGCCCTGAAGTGTGTTCCTGGCAGTTCTGGCTCCTCGTTGCACACCCGTAATGTTTAGCTGCCTCCAAAATTCATAATCAAACTTGAAGTTTGAGCTGCTGGATTTAGACGGTTTTTTGAACATGTTCATTTAGCAGGTTTTCCTGGCTTTGTTCACTTAATGTTTTTGATAAAACCAGCATGTGTATCCACCGTCGGAGATGAGGAGTATGTCTCACTTTAATACATGATGTAKAATTACACCAGTTACCCACAAGAGMAGAAGGAGTTGGRGTAAAAGCTCAGAGGGGGCAATGAATCAAGAGTGAGGAGGTTTGGACCAGTTGACTACTCTGTTCCAGAAAATTGCTGTGTGACCTTTGGGCAAATGTCACATTTTCATTCCTGTGACCCTCTCCCTCACCTCTATTTTTTTCTTTCCTATTTACACTTTTAAAGTGCAAAGGCAAAAGCACATGCCTACCATAGGCAGTTCCAGTGTAAATGTTGATACACAGATTTAAAACAAGGAGGCAGATATCCACTTGGAGGCCCCCTGTAGGTATTTGTCATCATGGTCCACTGCAAGCTATGATCAATGGATGGCTTTGCTGATGAGGAGAGCCACTGTTCTTGCCCAACATCACCTGAATTTCTCCAACACCTGCAGAAGCGTGTACTGAGATGCACATTTGCTCATGTGGCMTTCATGACCTGGTACGCCTTTTGCTTTGCCTTGCTCCTGGGGAAGAGCTGCAGCTGCTTTGTGATGACAAGGCACCACTTTCTTCCCACTCTGAATGCATAGGGAATTAGACCACTTACTGGTCTTGTATGGGGATAATTTTGACTGCTGATGTATTTCTTCTTTCATTAATGTTATAAAGTACCATGCCATTCTCTTCCCCAAATTCAATTTGATTTTTCTTCTGAGGTTTCCGCTGATMCACAATTCTAATTTCTCCTGTTTCACTTCTTGAAGGAAGAAAAKGAGATTGTCAAGTGGAAATTAGAGGCCACAATGTGTCTGAAAGTATTTTGGAGCGAATTGATTAAAAAGTTACAGTATTTCTTGAACTGACACTAAGCACAATAATTGCAAGATCCTAAGAAATTTGTATGAGGGGAGATTGCAAAGAAGGTTTTAGAAACAAACTTAGCTTCATCTGTGAAGTTAGTGGACACATTTGTGGCTTTTCTCAATGTGTTTTTGCTTTAGGATACAACTTAAGATCCAGAAGAGTCTTGAAAAATGTGTATATTTAGTAGTGGGTAGGTGTGAATCCACTCCAACAGGACGGTTTAAAAAAAGTGCTATTGTAAGAAAACTTGTATCTAGAAAAATGAGGTGAGGGGGTAAGCAGGCCTCTGCAGGATTGTTCTGTCTTTGCCAGCTGACAAGAAGAGCTGTTCTTCAGCCCTTTTGGCTGGTGGGTGCAGRCACAGCAAGTTGCTGCTGGAAGCTGTTGTTCCCTGCAGTCCCAACAGCACTTCTGGTCTATTTCCAGTGAGATGGTTGGCAAGACCTGTCAGAGAAACGAGTGTAGAGCACCACTGTCCCCATCCTGAACGGCATTTTGAAATTTGCTCTTTTCACAGCTGTGCCTTTCTTTGTCCAGGGGTTCAAGTCATAAAGCCTGGTCCAGGAGGAGAGGCTGGGCATGACGGTGGTGAATGGTGCATGTTCCTTAGGGGAGGAGACACAGCTGCTAGRGCAGCAATGCCGCCCCAGCTCTCGTTTAGGTGTGCGGCCAAAAGCCTTTAATGATCGCTCCGGAGGCTCTGGCACTGGTGAACAGTTGGTGTGAGGGCAGCAACCCCGACTTCAAAAGGGCAAAGAGGAGAACAGGTTGACTTTTTCCGCCTCCATGCCCGATGTGGGGTAAGCTGGGTTGTGTGCGGCGGTGTCCCCGTGGGATCAAGCTGAGGAGAGCCGGGATGCTGTGCGGGGGAGGACGGTGTGAGAGGAGGGAGCGGGCGGCTCGCAGGTGGGCTCCGCGGGCAGGCGGCCGGGGACAGCGCCGGGCGGGCGGGAGGAGCGCGCTGAGGGCGGGCCGGGCCGGGCGGCGCCGCCGGGAGCCCGCCGCGGCGTGTGGTTGGCTCCGGGCGGTCGGTACTCAGCGACAGGCGGCGAGGTGGGAGGAGGCTGGTGGGGCGGAGGAAGAGGAGGAGGAGGAGGGAGCGCGGCAGCGCTGCGGAGCGTATCAGCCGGTGCTGGACTATGGTGCGGCTCGGCGGGGGCTGACACGCCGGCACCCCGCCCGCCTTCCCTCCCTGCCGGCTGACAGGCACGTGTGGGATGTGAGACCTGCCCTCGCCGGGGGAGCATGAGCTGTGCCCAGGCCGGCATTGTCCAGGTACGAGGGGCTGCTGCCGCCCAGCCCCGGGTGAGGGTGGTGGGGCCGGGGCGGAGGCGGGTGGCGTCGGCTTCCAGCGGAGAAGTGCGAGGCGGGATGGAGCTGGTAGCGGCCTCGGCTCTGGAAAAGGCCCTTCCCGGGGCAGGCAGCCCCCGCCCGGCCGGCGGGATGCGGTGGCGGGTCGTGGGTGTGCGCTGTCACCGTGCCCGGCTGCGCGGTGCCGCCTTTGTGCCTCGGAGATCCGTGCGGGATGGGACCCACGGCCGTGCCGGGGCGCTGCCCTGGGCGGGGGGCGGCGGCGTGGAGGGGTCGTTCTCTCGTGTTGGGCCCCTGTGGGTTACGGGCTGAGCCATCGGCCTGTCGGCTGAATTCCACCAGCGAGCAGATAGTGTAGAATTATGATGAGCGACTTGCCGGCGGAGATTGACATCATTTGGGGATGTGGATGCACGCAGGCGGTGATGAAGAGTCCCGTGCCGAATTTTTGGTGGTAACGTCCCTTCCTTGTAAAAGCAGAAGCCCCCAGTTTWGGTTCTTGGCTCCCTGACAATGCAGCAAAATTTAAAGCATGAACTGTCTTTTTTTCCCCCATGCTCTGTTGCCAATCTTGTGACTTCATATTTTGGTTATTACCTTGTGTTATTATGTAACTGCATTTTTTTCTTAGCAATTATAAAAATAACTTATAGGTACGTTAAGAACATTTTCCTAGCCTGTAGCATTGTCAAATGCTGCGTTTCTCATTTTGCAGCCTGCATAGATAATGGGTTTGTACTGACATGGGCAGTACAATTCATTTTGTTCTCTCTTGCATCGTTTCCCGTGTGCTTCTCTGTAGTTGCAGAAGAAATTACTCGGCCTGGGTTTAGATTTTTGCATCCTGCTGTTTGGTGGACCTGCAGTAGGGCCTTTTTTTTTTTTTTTTTTATGCTGCACTCAGCAGAAGTGCGTAGTGAGACTGTACAACAGTCAGTCAGGCTGTGCTCCTGTCCCTGTGTTTACCAGCACCACTGTCTCATTCTGTGGGGCACCTAGCTCTGTCTGAACAGGGCAGCAATTAGGGGCAGGGTGCTGCTCTGCCAGTGGTGCCACATAGCAGGTGGTCAGCTGTGCCTTTCTGATTAGTGCTCATGTGAGGATTGTAGTTATTACAGTAATTCATTTTAGCTTGGGGATTCATTTTGAAAATTTGGATTTTCCACTAAGAAGGGATTATCATTTCTCTGTGTAGTACATGTGTTTTGTGAAGAAGTAGAGTACGGTATGTATCCTGGCTGCTCTCTCTGCTTCCCTTCTGTCTCTGAAGTGCACATCCAATTTGGACAACACAGGTGCAATGTTGATTTTCATTCCACTTCTGGAGCCAGAAGTAGATGTAAAAGGCAGCACATGCTTAGTCAACCCACAACACTCATCCTGTCAATGCAGTCTCAGTTTAGTGCAGGGGAGAAGAGTGTCTGTTCTTACGGAAGAAATGTGGGGTCCATTTACTTGTTTGTTTCAGGAGGGTGAGCAGGGAATTAGCTGAGAACAAAGAGTGGTTGGTCAGATGGCCAGCATTTGTGAGCAGYGTGTGAGTCAGGGGTGGATGGAATGTTTTGTCGCTGGTGTGATACTATCGCTACTGKGTTTCTGACTTAATGTGACCTGAGYTTTGGACTCYTAAACTTTTAATATCTATCAGCTTACTCATTTGAAACCAGAGCAGGCCAGAGCACAGACTGATACAGTCAGTGACTTTATCAGGAAGTCTCAATATCTGAACGTGACRGTGATTTATTTTTTGTGTACATTTATTGTGTACATTGTGCTCAGAACRTCACAAATAATTGATCCCAAATCCGTGTGCTCAGTATTTTAAGTGCATTCTAATAAACAACATGGTACTTACTGTTTTCCAATAAATATCTGGCTAAGACCTGTTAYTAAAGTGCATCTTTCAGTGGCTTTGTGTTTCATATACATGGCATGGAATCTAGCATCCTTTGCCATTGTGAGAAAATACCTGTGAAGCTTCACAGAGTTTTGCACGTGCTGTGTCTGATGCTAAGTAGCCTTCATTCGAGGTAGASCTAAATCCTTTTCCTTGCGTCCTTTTGAACAGTCTTCTCACAAACAATACAATGACTTGGAAAAATAGTGGAAGTGAAATTTAGCTTGTTAATTGCCTTTTGAAATACTGCAAAAGATGCAGCCTTGGTATTGTGAGCAGGATTCAGGTTGTGAGAGCGATAGTGTTGAACAGTTGGTGTTTGGCTAGGAGCTGTTCTAACAAAGAGGATGGGTTGCCTGTGTTTTAAAGCTGCTGGATCTGCCTTGCATATGCAGGCATTAAGGTTGCCCCTGTGGTTTCACTTCTGGAAGATGCTTTTAAAAAAAATACCCAGCAAAACAACCTCCTCATTTCCACAYCAGTTAAATATTTTGTAAAGTTCAAACAGAAGGGCTTTTAATAATTAAAAAAGACAGTTATTCCAAAGTATTTTAGTTTGGGATGATAGATTTTGCCAGAGAACACAGCTTATCTTCACTATGACTTCTGATCTTTCTAAATGTCTCTGTGGTTCTTAAGTCTTTCCTGATGTAGTTTCCTCCAAAGTTAGGGCTACCTACAAGGCATGCATAGATCATAGTCTTTGTGGACTTCTAGAGAGAGGGAGAGCTCGARCTTTATACAAGTGCCCTGGCTTGCTGTCCCTCCTGTTCTGTGGAAGGGGTGCTTGCCAGCCTAAGTGAAAGTTACGCCTTTGTGAAGAGTACGGCAGACAGTTCAGCTGGGTGTCTATAGATACGTTTGGCTTACATGGGTGGATCATGCCTACAGCTGCCACACTTTCCAGCAGATACATCTATGAACCATCATTGCATTGGGAGTCACCCTCACCTCAGATGCTCCCTTGCCTCCAGTGGCACCTGTGCTGCCGGGAATGTTGCTGTAGCATTGGCTGTTTCCCTCAGATTGGCTTGCAGKAGCTGGAGGATGATCCTGCCCATACGGGTTTGTGTATCTGCCTATTAGCAGGAAAAGGAATTGTGACGCCCCCTTTTCTTCAGGATGTCTGTTGTTTGTTTACACTCAGCGGCTTTCTCGGTTTTGGCAATAAGGAGATGAGTCAGTTTTGCTTCTGTTTAAGGCTTTTTTTACCCATTTCTCCTGTAACATTTCATGTGCTGTTTTGATTTGGCAATGGCTGAATGGCAAATACTGCAGGCGTTTGGTTTACTTCCTTTGAAGTATATTTCTATTTGCCTTGGATATCATGATCATTAATTCTAATAAAGTTTAAAACAGACTAGATCTTATGTACTTACATATTTGTCCTAAAACACAGCAATACTTTGTTTTCTACTGGTAATCTCAGAGGTGTGGGGGTCATGCAATTCAGAAAAAAATAAAAGTACGGCCAGTAGCAAAGGGCAAGATAAGGTGCCACCTACTCTAGTTGATGTTTTCCGGCTGAGATCTGAGGCCAGCAAGATGCTTAGAATTAATTAAGAAGAAATGGCAAGGTTCTTTGATGCAAGGAGCCCAGGGCCATTTTCCTTACARTTAATGAATGGTGGCTAGGCAGCTGTATAAAGGACTTGTGAGTCAGTCTTGGCCTTTTTTGATCAGCTATGCTTGGCTAGGGTATCCTATTGTTAGCTCTGAAGTAGGAAGTTTTTATTTTTCAGTCAGGGCTTCTTAGGTGGTGCTCGGACTGTCCCTTGGTAAGGTGGTTTCCTCAATCTCAGATGTTTGTGGAAAATGGGCCAGTAAGGYGGGTCCAAACCACGGGTGAACTGGGCTGTTGTCCCGGGCACAGACTGCTGGGGACAAGAGGCTGACTGTGGCCCCACGGACTGCTTTTGCTTTGACAGCAGGGTGGAGCTGCATTGGAGCCGGGCAGCAGCTGAACCTGAAGTGGGGTTCCCTTGCTGCAGTACCTGTTGTGGCTCCCATTTGTCCTCTCCCTCCAGTGGCAGCAGCAACAGAAACCACTGTCAGCTCCTCAGGGCTCTCCTTCCTCCAACTTTCCTTTTTGTAATCTCACCCTCCTTTTCCATGATCCCAGCTCCTCATCCATTTGTCTACAACATTGCCTATAATGCAGAAAAGCTGTGAGATGGCTTTGGGGCTGGGGTGGAATGATATGGCAAGCTGTTTCTTTTAGATCTTAAAACGGGGAAACCCTGGTGGTTGTGTTTGAAATATCAGACTTGGTGATCAGCACCGTGTTCCCCAGGGGATCRCTGTGCTCCATTGTATTGCAAAGTTCTCTGAGGACGCAGCAGTGCAGGCAGTGTTCCCTTGCTGCAGAGCAGAAGGTCTGTGGGAGAGARCGTGTGCACAGCAGTCAGGAAGCTTATTATTGAGGCCTACACTGAGGTTTCATTTTATGCATTTAGCAAAACATGCTCTCTCTTTCACACTTTCCAGATATTTTTATATTTCTCTGCAGATGCTTGTAGAACACCAACATTTGTTTGGTTTCAAGCCTGAATTAAAATTCCCAACCAGTGTCTGGAGGCAAAATCAAAAAGGCAAGTATTTCTCCCAGAATTAAAATCCATCTAAATTTGAGATTTGTTAACCCATTAAATAGTGATGCAGTRTATAATGTCTCTTGGACTGAATCACTTGTGTTTAAAATGGAACATGCTCTAAAAATAAATGGCTAATTGTTCCAGTGCAGTCAATATGGAATTTAGAGATGACTGACAGAGTGATTTGTCATCCATCTCCATAGCAAGAGTCATCTGGGAAGTCTGTGATGTTAAAGACATTTGTTTCTATTAACACCTTTAAAAGTAGTTTTGTTAATGAACTYTTGAACATCAGGACTGAAATATGTCATGTGGTATAATTAATTTTCCATTTCATAGGAAAATGTGTGCCATGTGCACCTTCAATTACTAAATCAGGTACCTCAGGTCTTGAAATATGTGGTTCAGCAGGCCTGTTTGTTTTGTTTTGGTTTTTTTTTTTTTAAATGAAGCATGAGCATGCTGTACCTCTG